GTTAGTCCAAGTGTTTTGACAGACTCCAGTCTTCCTTCCCGTGATATGAGTTAAATAAATGAAAACTCAGGGAAATGACCAGAGGTAATTGTCTTCTTCTTTGGCGGGTCCAGACTTTAGGCAGATAAGGGAACAGCTTCATCGTGTGCTTTGGAGAGTGACAGAGGGTTGAGAGACAAGATATGTGACTTCTTCTTTGGCGGGTCCAGACTTTAGGCAGATAAGGGAACAGCTTCATCGTGTGCTTTGGAAAGTGACAGAGGATTGAGAGACAAGATGTGTGAGTTTGGAAAGTGACAGAGGATTGAGAGACAAGATGTGTGAGGTGGGGGAAAGTGAGAGAAACCTTGAGGCTGCTTTTTTATTCCAGCATGTCAAAGCACCACATTTGGGGGTACCACCTTTCTGCACCCCAACAGGTTCATTAGCCTCCATCTTCCTGACTCCTTATGGACTGACTTACTCTATCTAGATCCGTGAGGTTCACACCTAAGCAGAAAAATAAATGTGAGCTATTGATTGACACAAGGATAAGTGACTAAAGCCAGACATCTATCAAAGAATCATTTAGTAAGTGAATTATAGATTGTCTTTTCAGGTTGTGTGTGAAAAGCCCTTTCTAGTGTTTCTTGGATTCTATTATATTTAGGAAAGTAACAGATAGGAGATTTGTTCAGTCCAGATCTAATTTAAGCTGTCATTTCCCCACATGTATTTCAACGTTGGCTGTTTTTATTCAGTAATCTGTATTAATGTAAATAAATCTGAATCACAAAGGCAGTCTTGAAAGAGAAGGGAAAAAAATGAGAAAGTGCTACACACCTATCAGAATGGCCAAAATCCAAACATTGACAACCCCAAATGCTGGTGAGGACGTGGAGCAACAGAAACTCTCAATCACTGCTGGTGGGAATGTAAAATGGTCCAGCCACTTTGGAAGATAATTCGGCAGTTTCTTATGAAACTAAACGTACTCTTATTATATGTGCTGGTCTGGCATTCACACTCCTTGGCATTTATGTAAAAGATTTGAAAACTTACATCCTTACGAAAACCTGCACAGAGATATTTATAGCAGCTTTATGCATAATTGCCAAAACTTGAAAGCAACCAAGATGTCCTTTGGTAGGTAGAAAAATAAACTGTGATACATCCAGAAAATGGAGTATTATTCAGTGCTAAAAGAGATAAGCTATTAAGCCATGAAAAGACATGGAACAATCTCAAATGCATATTACTAAGAGAAGGAAGCCAATCTGAAAAGGCTGTGTACTGTGTGATTCTAACTATTTGACATTCAAGAAAAAGGCAAAACCATGAAGCCAGTGAAAAGATCGGTGGTTGTCAAGGATTAGGGGAAGGGAAGGAAGAATAAGGCTGAGCACAGAGGATTTCTAAGGCAGTGAAACTGCTCTGTATGGGACTGTAATGGTGGGTACACGTCATTACACATTTGTCAAGACCCAAAGAATGTATAAAACCAAAAGTGAGCCCTATTGTAACTTTGGACTGTCAAACCCTATGGACTTTGGGTGAAAACAGCGTGTCAGTGTAGGTTCATCTGCTGTAACAAATGTACCACTGTTGCGCAGAGTGTTGAGAGGAGGGGAGGCTGTGCCTGTGTGGGTGCAGGGAGCATGTTGGAATTCTGCTCTTTCTGCTCAATTTTGCTGTGAACCTAAAACTGCTCTAAAAATGAGGTGTATAGAAAAAGAGTAAAAAAGGGGGGGGGGACTAACTTGTGACAGTAAAGTGCACCATTCCTGTATTCATCTGTTAAATATTTAGTCACTTATTACCCTGTGAGAGATGCTCTTCTAGTGCACTTTATTTTAATTGTTATATCATATATAAATATTAGATCTATATTAGCTAGCATTTTATTGACTTTTTAAAAATAACATTAGACCTAGAATATTTCAAGATTTGGTTTTTAAGAATTCTGCATACAGATGATTTAAAAAGTAAGGTGAGAGGGTAAACTGACCTGTAGTGGACGAAAACCTGTGCTCAGCCTGCTAGAGGTGGAGGGATCGATGGGGGAGGAGGGGATAAATTGGAAATAGATCTCTCATCATTTAGTGGGAATAAAGGTGTCATGTCAAAGACAGTTTCCCTGATAGTTTTCCAAAAACTTGTACTTTATTAATGTTTAAAATAGGTTTGTTTGGAGGCTCAAAAGGGTTTCAGGTTGGGTACAAGGCAGACTAGAAGGGTTCAGTGCAAGAATTTGAGGGTGGGAGGATCCAGGAGAAAAGCAATATAGAGCGTAAGTGAAGGGCTCCATCCGCAGCCACCCGGCAGTCAGAGGTTTGATGGACCCCTTCAGGGCTCACCTTCTGGTCCTGTTGGGAGAGGGCAGGTGGCAGGAGGAGGGGGAAGGACCGAGGACCTGGCCTTCCCTTTTCCTTGTGTGAATATTTAAATGCTGACTCTGACTAATGTTTAGCTTCAGAAAACTGAAGTGGGATTTTCATGTTCTTAGATAAAATCTAACCCCAAGAAAACAAAAGTGTTTAACGTACATGATCTGGTGACCCCAAATAAGAGCAAAAGAAAAAGGTTATTGTCTTATTTGTGTTTCTCTAAAGAGATTAAAATAGCACTTAAGTTCTCATTATAAATTTGGTTATGTGGCATTAATTAAGATCATACTGAAAACATCGTGTTCTCATTATACCATTAAGAATTCATATTGCATTCATTGTGAATGCATTTTCCCTTTTGATGTATTTAGAATAATATTTTAATAGCTTAATTTCTTAAGTCATATAAATGGAAATATTTTATTATAAATTAAGAATACTAATTATAATATCCAGTATAGCTAAAATATATACAAATAAATTACATAGATAGATGACAGATAGATGAGAGATGGATAGATAGACATTGATTTACTATACCATCTGCTTTTGATATATAACCCATAGGCTCACCGTCAGAATGAATTTATTACCTCTTTCTTAATGGCTTCATCATTATTCAAAAAATTAAACCCAGAGTATTTTGAAATAAAGCACACATGAACAAATACACACACATAGAGAAAATGACATTCATAGTTTACCCTTTTCGTACAGGTGGAATACCTCTCTGAAGTGTTATAATAAGTGGATGTGATTATAATCCAGGTGGATGTACAGGGCACACGTATGTAGTGATACAAACTTCATCTCTCCTGGGTGGGTGCCAAGCAGCCTCTGGGTAAAACTGTAAGTCGGGCAAAGTTGTTTCCCACTCCTTTTTCTAGTTTTAAAATTGTCCCAATAATCCTTACAGCACCCACAGGCTGTGTAGACAGCCCAGAGAAGTTAATAGCCTGTTCAACACCACTGTCTCCTCTAAGTCCTTCCCTCTTCCTTCCCTGGTCCAGTTATCATGGCAGGTATGATATGCCTGTGTGAATAAAGCCCACCTTTGTTTTGATTAAAGCTGGAATAGGAACAGCCACCACAGCCACCTGGATTCAGTCTTGGTTGTTGACTAAAGGGGTTTTTTGGTTTTTTCCTTTAAAGAGGGATTCTATTCAATTTTGAAAAGTGCTGTTTTAGCAAATCTGAGAAACAAATATAGAGAGTAACGTATTAATTAATCCTTCCCATTCATATTTGCTGAACATCATGTTTCTAGCATTGCACATGCGATCTATCAGTGAACAAAACGAAGAAACCTACTGTCCCAGAACATACATTCGAACAGAAGACAGACAGTAGTGATGAACATAATGAATAAGGTAGAACACGGCAAGTGCTAGGAAGAATTCTGTAACAGAGGAGGATGAACAAGAATGCTGGACTGGGGAAGGGTGCAGTTCCAACTGCAGTTTTGAACAATGTGGTTAGAGTCACCTCATAGAGAAGGTGGCACTTGAGAATCACTGAAAGAGTCAGGCGCTTTAGCCATATGTCTCTGCACATCTGTGGGATGAATGAGTTTTAGGTAATAAGAAAACTAAGTAGAGAAGGTGCCAGTCCTCCGATCCCTGAGGTACGCTGAGGTTTTAAAAAAAGAAGAAAAGGATATTGCTGAGTGAATCATGTTATTTTTCCATATAAATACAGAAGTAAGTCTGGCCAGTTAGCTCAGGTGGTTAGAGCACAGTGTCATAACACCAAGGTCGCGGGTTAGGATCCCTGTACTGGCCAGCCAGTCCCCCACCCCAGAAAAAAAAAAAATTGCAGAACAATTCAGATGCAGCTTTTCTAATGGAAACTCCTCCGTGAAACGGTCTGTATGTTAACTATCACTTTATTTTGTCTCCAATTTAAATTTTAAAATTGTTCCCCAAATCAAAGAGCAGCAGGAAGAACATGCATCTGGAAACACATTGCAAGAATTTTTTGGCACTTACTAAAATTTTCTTTGGGTAAAAAGAACACACAAATTTAATGTGGTGTGTTGTTATTAATAAAATCCCTAAGTTAAGCATAACGTGTCTTGGCCTGACACGTTCTGTCTCCCACTGTGAGTGATGTTCTTGTTTTCTCAGGTCTTTGGAGATAAAATTCCTTGTGTCAGTTCTTCCAGTTCCTCATTTAGCTTCTGGTTCCTTTGAAATGTGGGGAGCATTTCCCTATTAAGTGTAATTTTAACATTTTGTACATCAATTCTGCAGCCCTTTAAGACAGTAGTTAGATTTAATGTCTAAGGCATGAGGATCATTCCAGTGCCTTTTGTTACTCCATCTGCTTCATGCCGTGAGTATGTGGCATATTTTTATAGAGAGAAATGTCTAAGACACCTATTATGAGGTTAAAACCACCTTTCCAAAATTCTGTAGCTTGGAAGAAAGACATTGAAATTTTTATTGGTAGCATATTAAAGCAAGTGCTGGCAGTAAATCTAAGGAGAATGCTAATTTGTTTTTTTTCTCCTTTGAATGCCTTAATTCAGTTCAGTGCAATTAACTGCAGCAGATTCTTCATATGAGAAACGTTTTAGCTTAGATAGTGAAACTTGACATGCTGAGGCTAAAGTCGTGTCCTTTGCTCTTTCAGATAAGGAGACAAGGAGGCATCCAGCTCCTGGTGGACCTGTTGGATCATCGGATGACCGAAGTCCACCGTAGTGCCTGTGGAGCTTTGAGAAACTTGGTGTATGGGAAGGCCAACGATGATAACAAAATTGCCCTGAAAAACTGCGGGGGCATCCCAGCGCTGGTGAGGTTACTCCGCAAGACCACTGACCTGGAGATCCGGGAGCTGGTCACAGGTTAGAATCATTATGACGTTATTACATTTCATCCCAAGATAAATTTTCCATTATCCAGCATGGTAGCAAATGTGCTAGGCAAACATGGTCTGGAACCTCTCACAGTGCTAATAACATAGGCAGTCTTGATACATGTTTTCAAATGCGTAAGCAGGTAAGTAAAATGATATCAGATGTAAGACACATGGGTTGATTATACTAATCAGAATCCAATAAATGTAGCCCTCATTAAAATTCTGTGATTATATTTCAGTCATTGTCAATTGATTTAGAAGGAGTTGAGCATCTTACAATATCCACAGATCATCATTAGAATGACATTAGTAATAATTGGTGAAAAGTCAGGGCACGTGCCTTATTGATAATAGGCTGTATATTCCGGAATACACTGTGGTTAACAACAGAGAGCTTCGTATATACTTAGCAGTTAATTGCTTGAATAAAATATTCATGCCTACTAAAAGCCCCAAGGTTATATTACCTATTAAGACATTTTTCGAAAGTGAACATGAGAGAAAGCCTTTCCATCATCATAGAACTTTGGAGTTTTGTAAAATGGGGATAATTGTAGTAGCCACCTCATAGAGTCATGCAGGTTTAGCAAACGAGAACATGTCAAGCATTTAGCACATACTGTTCTTGGAATACGTGTGGACACAGTAAACAGTAGCCATTAGCTCTCATCCCATTCCTTTTACATGTGCAGTTTTGCTTGCTGGAGAGCTAATGGCATAGGTGGCCTCAATATGGGATTTCAAATTGCTGCAATGCTCACTGTCTTGATTATGCTCACTGCTGTTCTAGGTAATATTTGGCTTTTGGTTCATCAAAGCACCCATATAAACAAGTATTTGGCAAATGGATTGTAAAGTTGACTCTCCAAAAAGATATTTTAATTATCCATAATTCTATTGACATTCTTGTCTAAAATTTCTCTGTAGCAGTGAAGAAGTATATCTGAATTTGTTTATTTAAGAAACTACATTACTCAGTCTAAAGAGTCATAAATATTTCTTAACTTCTGTGTTGAGACTCCTGACTTCAGTATATTTTCTTAAATTTATGCCCTTCAGGATTATTGTCAAATCTCTTTCTCACTCCTAGCTAAATTAGAAATAGACCCAAATTATTGTTTTCCTTTTCCTTTTTCTTTCTGTAAGTGGATAAATGTCTAAGCAGAAAAAAAAATTGTTAAAGGTTATAGTGTTATTAAAGTAATGTTTTACACTGAACTAAGGTGGAGTGACATGGACTGGTAAGGTAAAATTATTATCATCTACATATTATGATGTCTAGGATAGTTTTGGGGCAAGTTGTGTAGCTGAAAATATTCCCTACCATTGTGATTATGAACACCTGTCCTTACTTGTGTGGGTCGTGTTTAAGTTGGAAATGCCTGTAAGAGAAAAGACTCAATGAGTGTGACGGAATCATGATGCTTCTGTACGTTAAGGACATGCCATTGGATGAAGCCAGCAGAACTGAAGACCAACAGGACACCTTCTGTGTGTACCTATGCATCCATTTCATGATTGGAAAAAAATTGGATTTCGGTAAAGTTTGGATTTGCTCCAACCGTTGGAAATGCCTGTAAGAGAAAAGACTCAATGAGTGTGACGGAATCATGATGCTTCTGTACATTAAGGACATGCCATTGGATGAAGCCAGCAGAACTGAAGACCAACAGGACACCTTCTGTGTGTACCTATGCATCCATTTCATGATTTGAAAAAAATTGGATTTCGGTAAAGTTTGGATTTGCTCCAACCCAGATCCCTTGTCCAGAAGCACCCTCTGTGATGGCTTATCTCATTGCCAATGAAACTCAGCTACCTGCAAAAGGTTGGCATGATTGATGGCTTAAAATAGAAAGGAAATGCAATGTCCTGTCACATGGCATTGTCCATGGCAGATAGCCCTGTGCTGCTGCTGCTATTCGAGGTGGCTGTAAGGAAACTGATCACCCACTATGCCATTGCCTTTAGTGCTGCTTGTGACCGATCCTGGGTGTCACTCACTAGATGCACCTTGGGCAACATCAAGAATTTCTACATGAGTCCCATTTGGAAACATCAGAGGCAATTAGCCTCTTCAAAATGTCAAGAAGTTTGCTTTCCTGGTGAAATTCGGTCTGGAAGAAGGATGCTGGCACTTGTACAAGAGCACACACCTCTTATTCTGCTTCTTTTAGAAGGAGGGTCTGCACCCACGGTGAGCCACAGTTTTTTCATCAGCATGTGCTGGAGGTTGAGACTCTCTCCACCTCTGCTCCTAGGGAAAGTGCTGTCCTGCAGTGATGGCCAAATGGATTCAGAGTGGCAGTGGTGGCTACTTCAATAGATGTTTTCTGCCTTCCCAGAGGCAGGGTCTTATTGTGCTTGCCTGAACTCAGGCGTGAGTTTCACCTTGTTCAAGAAAAACATATCAGACATCTTGACAAGCTGAAGTTCATGGTCTCTGGAGGTGCCATCATGGATACTGTTGAAAAGAACGGCAAGCACCTTGGTGAGGCTACAGCTCTGGAAAAGGAAATGGGAAGAGAGCATCTATGAGAACATTCCAGTGTGGAAGAAACGGCTGCTGTGAGCCCATCTGTGGAAACAAAACCCTCTCAGTCTTTATATCGGCAGAAATCTGAGGGTGCCTGGAAACTCGCCAGACTCAGCTGAGCTGACTTCTGTTTAGACACGGCGTCAGTGGTGCAAGTCTAGCCAGAGCTGACACCACTGCCTGAAGCAGAAGTAAAACGAGGCCAGACGAATTCGGCTCAGAGAGCAGGGCAGAGTCATGTTCGTGTTCAGCACCAGCCCGTCATCACCTGCCAGAGTGGGCTATGAACGCACAGATTCTGTTGGCTCCTGCAGAGCTTCGGGAATCCAGGATCTTGACAGAGCTAACCTGGTTTAACCTCAAGGTCATCAAATTCTCCATTCTCTTATCTTTTATTCTCTTTCTGCTCCTCTTTCTAGGATACTCTCGTCTCTCCCCAAGTATGATGAGCTCTTTAGTGTCTTCCTGTGTGAGCCCAGGCACTTCATTCTTCCTTAGTAGTTTGTTTCTCAGATACTTTGTTGCTGTTGTTGTTTATTTTTATGTGTTTATTTTTACTTTTTTTATTCTAACATTTACTTGTACATATTTCGGTGTTGCTTCAATACACGCATATACTGCACAATGACTCACTTAGGGTAGACAGCATAGTTTTGTACCTGTTAGTCCATCCCTTCTCCTTTCCCCACCTCTTGTATCCATTATTTTACTCTCTACTTCTATGAGAACCACTTTTTTTTTCTTTTTTTAGATTTCACATATGAGTGAGTTCGTGCAGTATTTTTCTGCACCTGACTTCCTTCACTCGACATAATGGTTTCCAGTTCCATCCATGTTGCTGCGAATAATAGAATAGCTTTTTTTAAAATAGCTGAATAATATTCCATTGTGTATATATACCACAGTTTTTTATCCATTCATCCGTATATGGGCATTTAGCTTGATTCCATCTCTTGGCTATTGTGAATAGTGCTGCAGTGAACATGGGAGTGGAGTGCAGGTGTCTCTTCAATAGACTGATTTCATTTCCTTTGGGTATATACTCAGCAGTGGGATAGCTGGGTCATAAGGTGAGTCTATTTTTGTTTCTCTAAGGAGTTTCTGTCAGTGTCAGCTGCTGTGGTAACCCCTGGATACCAGCACCCATTGCCCTGGTTGGACCCTGCTCTGAATATTCAGCTACCAAACAATACTGGTGTAAATATTTAAGAAGACATCTCTGACAAACATGTCCACATTTAGAAACTTACTAGATGAGGAGTAGAGTACGAGAGAAGAAAGGCTCGCTTCGTTTCTGTTGTCACAATGAACTGCCACAAATCCTTTTTAGAATTAGGTTAGATATCCACATGTGAATTAAATAAAACGGCTATTAACGTGTAACAACTGTGCATTCACTTCCTTTGCAGTTCTCTAGTGGACCTAATACAGGGTTCAATGAGGAATGACGACTCAGTACCTTACAGGAACCCACCACTAGTACAGGGGAGTTTATCGTTTCAGTCTCTTTCCTGCCTTCAGCTCATGCATGAGGATAAATGTCTATTGAAAAAAAAAAAATTACAGGGGGAGGGAGGGGGATATCCCCCTTTGAATTCTTCCCCAGATATTTATAAACGAGGATGTGTTGTAAACAAATATTCAAAGGAACAATTTTAGAGATTTCTTAAACTATGAAACACGGTTTATAAACCAGATTTTAGAATAGGCCTAGCTCTATATCCAGAAAAAAACTATAGTGTTGAGACTTCTATAAATAATAGAATACCAGAAGAAAGAAATGATCTTGCAGAGCTTTAAATTATTTATTGAATATTGCTTGGCAAACTGTTTAAACAATAATAAAATGTTAAAATTGAAGTATGTGCATGCATTTGCATTCAACACATAAACACGCATGCTGAAAAAAACAGCTGCCTGTTTACACTGCATTATCTATGTACAGGAGAGTATGTTTTGTCACTGCTTGTTAAGCCTTGCACTAAATAATTTTCTTCCTATGCAATAATTACTAAGAGATGATGATCACAATTTTATTTAAATCCAGTATCTATGTACAGGAGAGTATGTTTTGTCACTGCTTGTTAAGCCTTGCACTAAATAATTTTCCTCCTATGCAATAATTACTAAGAGATGATGATCACAATTTTATTTAAATCCAGTCAATGCTGTTCTGTGCTAGCCATTACTTGAAATTACTTGAAAAGCCAATACTTAAACTTTGATTAGAAATGCTGTATGTCCTTTGGGCTTGACTAACATAATTTTTCTCTCTCTAAATATGGAAATAATCAACCTAAATTTTGAAATGCCCAACTAAAGATTTCAGATTGCTTTACAAATCATAATAAAACAGTTTTTATTAAATCATAAAACTTAGTAAGTTTTATTGCGGTTGAAAGCAAGTGTTCTTGAGAGTTGGGCTTCTCCCAGAGTAGAGTGTTCTTTCA